TGATGTATATTTCCTCCCCCCCCGCCCCAGCTCTTATGGACCTCCTGGTATTTGAAAGGCTTTATCTCAGTGTATGAGTTAGGTAAACATTAATTCCTTCCTCCTATAAAAAAAAGTAAGGTACAATTTACATACAGGAACATTTATATTTTTTAGTGTATCATATAATCACACACCTACAACAATATCAAGATATGAAACAGTTACATCACCCTAAACACTTACCTGTGCCTCTTTGGAGATAGCCTTCCCCTCTATCTCCAGCCCCTGGCAACAACTGGTGTTTTCTCTCCTAGTTGTGTCTTTTCCAGATTGTCCTAGAAATGATTCAAACAGGCCTTTGAGTCTGGTCTTCTTATATTTAGCATAATGCATTTGGGATTCACGCATGTTGTTGTGTGTATCAGTCTGTCCCCTTTTATTACTAAGTAATACTTATTTCATGGTATTGATGGACCAAGTTTGTTTAGCCACACACCAGTTAAGGACATTTAGATTGTTCCCATAATTTCTGGCAATTATGAATAAAAGAGCTATGAATACTTATATACAGATTTTATATGAATGTAAGTTTCATTCCACTTGGGTACATATCTAGGAGTGGAGTTGCTGAGTCGTATGCTAAGTATATATTTAAGTACATAAGAAACTGCCAAAATATTTTCCCAAGTGGCTGTACCATTTTGCATACACACACACACACACACACGCACACACACACACACGACAAACATATTCATAACAAAATAAGGAGGAATACTCATGAGAGTAACTGATCACATGCTCATAGTTGGTATTTGTTACTACCTACTTACGCTACCAATTCTGGATTTCCTTTGCCTTCAGCAAGCGCCTCAGCTGGTCATGGTTCTGATAGCACAGAGAATAAAAGAGAGTAAGCATTGTTAAGAGGGATATTTAAAATGGAGGATGTTGAGGGGCGCCTGGGTGGCTCAATCAGTTGAGTGTCGATCTCTTGGTTTCAGCTCAGGTCATGATCTCAGGGTGGTGGAATCAAGCCCCACATGGGTCTCTGCGCTTGGCAGGGAGTCTGCTTGGGGTTCTCTCTCTCCCTCTGCCCCTCCCCCCAAAATAAATAAATAAATCTTAAAAAAAAAATAAAACGGAGGATGTATGTCTTCTGTTTCAAATTCTCAGAATTGTTGAGAACTCAGCTAAAATTCAGTTTACAGGGGCGCCTGGGTGGCTCAGCTGGTTAAGCGTCTGCCTTTGGCTCAGGTCATGATCCCAGGGTCCTGGGATCGAGCCCCGCATCGGGGCTCAGCGGAAAGCCTGCTTGTCTCTCTCCCCCTCTGCTGCTCCCTCTTACTTATATGCTCACTCTCGCTCTCTCTCTCTCAAATAAGTAAGTAAATAAATAAATAACATCTTTAAAAAAAAAAAAATCAGCTTACAGGTGAGGAATCTAGAAAAGCTGAGCAACCTGACCGTGATTCCGCCGTCTGAAGTTTAGGACTCCTTCTAACCCAGGCAGGCTTTCAGGACTATAGGAGCGTTGGCCTGGTGGCCTAGTGCAAGTCACGCAACCTCTCAGAATTGCAATTTGTGATGTCACTGGGTGATAGTAAGACCTGCCTCGCAGGGGAGTCATGAAGATTAGATATAAAACATGCTTAGTACAGAATCCACATTGCAGCAATTTTTTCATAGTGTCTGCTTCCTGTTGTTCCCATTTACTATGCACAATCTCTTTCTCTTCCCAATGCCTCGATGAGATGAACAATGAAAAGGAGGACTCAGCAAGGACAGCAGGAGGCCGTGGGGGTATGGCCCCAGTAAAGGACCTTGAGAACACTTATCAGTTTGGTCCAGGTGTGTCTGGCCAATGGAAGAAAGACTACGAGCCATGCCATGAGACTAGACAGGGCGCATTTATGGACTGGACAATGGACAGCCTCATTTGACCCATACAGGGCATTATTCCTGGCCCCCTTCAGGATTCTTAGGAGAAAACTGAGCCTACTCCTACAGTAACATCATACCCATCACAAGGACCTGCTACAGAGTGCCAATGGCAGCATTAGTCCACACATCTCATCTCGTTCCCACTGCAACCCCAGGAAGGAAGGATTACTTTGCCTATTTCACAGAGGAGGCTATAAACCTAAGCCCACCTGACTCATAAGCCCACTCATAAGACTGCTGGGGAGAAAAGGGGGAGAAATCAATTCAATAGGCTGTGAGCAAAAGAGGAAATATTATTATGAAAGCAGTGTTTCACAGATTTCCTGAGTACAGAACCCGAACTGGAAACTAGAAAGCTGTGCATGTGGGAGCATGTCCCCACCTCCCACTCCACCGCACCCTCCATCTTTTACCTGTCTTCTCTCTGTCTCTGTGGAGCACCTTCTGACGCTTCCTCAGCCCTGTGTAGAATGAGCCACTCCATACTTCTAAGGTTATATGCTACTGGTCTATCCTCTCATGATTCCTTTTCAACTTACCAGGAGAAGAATCTTTTAATTTCCCCCCACCTTTTTTTTTTTTTTAATCCAGGTGGGGATGTGAAATCTGAGGGAGGCCACAGAAATTCCTGAGTCCAGCCTACTCCTATGGGTAAGTCTTATGTATCCTCAAAATGTGCTCACCCATCTCCATTTGGACACCTCCAGAGCGGCCGGCTTCATTGTGGGAGACCTGGCTGTTAAAGTACCCACCTGTGTCTACTGCTCCTGCCTCTATTAATTCTCCTCCAAGGAGCCTACCAAGGCTGAGGGGGCAGGCCTGGGAGGCAGGCTCAGCCCCAAGGTTTCCCAGTTCCTCCACCTGCCCCAGGCCCTGGCCGATGAGCTCTGGTCATCAATGTTCCTCTGAAATGGGTGCCTAACCACACCAGGAGAGACTGCCACCCTCCATGTCCAATCTCTCGGCAAGATTTCCCTGCTGTTTTTTTCAGCCCAGCACATGGCAGCTGGTGCTCAAGGGGACATATTATTCCAGAGGAAGACCTGCTGTGGGGAGCTCAGGGGCCAGAGGCAATGATGAGGACAGAAGTGGGCGTGGAGATCCCTCTGCTCTTGAGGATGCACAGGGAGGTAGCGACCCACAGGCGGGCCCAGCCGAGAGGGGAAGTGCAGAACCCAGTCCCACCCCCACCTCCCCACCCCCAGCCCAGCTCAGTCACGGGCCCTGTCTACACCTGTCTGAGGATGTGGCCAGTGCCGAGGGTGGAGAGCAAATTGTGGAGAGGGGACTTTTTGACATGGCTGAGGAGAATGAGGGCCCAGGGAGGGAGGGGCTCATCAGTGGGGGGTGAGGGGGACCCCTGAGAAGACTGTGTCTCAGGATGAGGGGGGAAACTACAGGCCTTTCTCTTTCCCAACTTGGGGGTGCTCAGTGTTGCTGCCTGGGCCTTTTCCCGCTCCACCCTCACCCCATCTCCACCTGCAATCCTCTGCATGGGCTGTGGCTAGCAGTACGGGGAAGTGTGAACTCTGAGAGAGGACGGACCCTGCAGATGTCAAGGGCACCGTGGGGCAGGTCAGGACAGAGTTGGAGATCCCCCTGTACCCAGAGCTTAGTCTCAGATGCCAGAACCAGCTGGCTCCCAGGAAAAGAACCCGACTGGTCCAGCTTGAGTCAGGTGTCTTCCAAAGTTCGTATGCCAGTAGAAGACCATGAGGAGCATGGCAAGCAGGAACCCCCTCTGGGAACTGCTGAGCACAGAGAAGGGGGATTGATGCTCAGGATGGATACCAACTAGAAAAGGTATCTTCCACAGCTGTACTACTTTCCTAGCAGAGGTTCAAGCATTTATTCATTTCAGAGAATTCAAACCAAGCATGGCCTGTAGTAACATAAGCACCAATTGAGGAATGCGTAATGAAGATGTTAGGTGCCCAAAGACATTGATTTAGGTAGAAAAACTAGTAAACCTGGCATGTGGAGTAACCAATTGGAGTTCATCAAGCCAGCTGCCTGGTGGAGACTCTAAATATTTTCTGGTTTCTACAGCAGGGCTGTCTGATAGGCCAAAAAACAAACAAAACAAAGCAAGCCACCCATGTAATTTTAAACATTCTAGCAGCCACATATTTTAAAAAGGGGAGAAAAAGAGGGTAAAATTCATGTGAGTGATATATTTTATTTAACCCAACATCCAAAATATGACCATTTCAACCCGTAATCAATAATATTGTTAATGAGCTGTTTTACATTTTTTTTTTGTTCTAAGTATTCAAAATCGGATACGTATTTCATATGTAGAGCACATGTCGGATGTGACATTTTCACTGGAAATACCTGATCTGTATTTAGATTTCCTAACATGCACACTGAACAACTAGGGCCGTAATCACACATTCTAGTTTTTATGCTACCTCTCATTCGTTATGCGGGATGGAACTAATTCTCGTCCGCGTTCCCAGTTCTTGCTCACCAAGTTGGTCTATTGCCCAGATTGTTCTTCCTATAGAGAGGTGACCATTGGTAAAAATGACCAGGCTGGGATTGTGAGCCTCTACCCCACGAAGGAAAACCATAGCTAGAACCTGGGAGCTACATTTGTTCACCTCTTTGCTTGGTTTATGTGACAACAAATCATTTTTGTCGCAGATTAACTATACTGAGTATGTAGGAGATTTCTGAGATTTTGTTACTTTTTTCTTTTCATTGAAACAATCAAGTTTCCTTAGGGGTAGCACTTTCACTGCCCCCTGAAATTCTATAACGGCCCATAGCGGGCCAGGGGATGCTGACAGGGCAAATGACTGGTGACCACATCCAAGCAGCGAACGCTCGGTCCTTTCTGGCCATTCCTGTGGATAACGCGTATCAGCAAGGAGGCAACAGCTCGGGTAGAGAACACCCGGCAAGGTTTCAGACCAAACGGCAGGTCCTGAGCTACCGGTAGAAGGCGTCTGGGTAATGGGCATAAGTAAAATCACGTAAGGACAGCACAGGTCTCACAACTCCTACTCTGGTCCGGGGACCGTCCCCCGCAGCAGACATGCGT